GGGCGGTCACTTGCCAGTGTCTGGCTCTCGCGCCGCGGTTATCGGCACTGGCACTGAGTGGACGCCAGAGCCTCCCCTGCGGCCGCCCGCAGTGTCCCTGTGGAGAGCGCCCCGGGCCCGCCCGAGCTGCACACTTAGGGGTGTCCTCAGCAGCGCCCCGCTCCCGCTGGAGTCGTGGCCCCTGGGCCCCCGCGAGCTGCCTGCGCCCTGCTGGGCCCACCGTCCTAGGCGGCTGCCCACACGCGGCGCCCTCACTGGCCAGGGGGGAAGCACCCTGAAAACGGCTCTGAGAGAACAGCGCCTGCTGGCAATCCGCGGCCTCGGTGACCCCTTGCCTCGCACTGCGCTGTCAAGGTGGGAAGAGCTCCCCTGCTCTGGCTACGGCACCTCTCGTGTCCCCCAGCTTGCGCGGGGCGAGAGGGGCCACTGCCTTCCTGACCCAGAGGCCGGAGGGGGCAGAATGCTGCGAAGTCCCGGGAGCATCTCCACAGGCCCTTTGCCGGACACCAGATGCCCCGGCTGAGCCGACAGGACTCTCCGCCCTCTCACCCTCCCAGATCGAGCACAAGTAGCCTGGTCACTGTTGTCCCCGAAGGGCCCCGCCCTTCGGCAGGCGCCATCTGCGCTCCTGCAGGCGCGTGTGCCCGAGGCCCTGCCGGTGGCGACCGAGTTCCGCGCCCCCGCCAGGTGCGGGCTGTATTGGCTCAGCGCCCCCCCAAACTCTAGGAAAACAGCAACGGGGAGTCTCGCGAGCCTCGGGGCACCTGCCTGTCAGGAAGGTCGCTTGAGGTTGCTGGGTGGTGGCGCTGCTCCGCACCCCGGGGCGCCGAGTCCCTGCAGCGGGACTGGGCGGGAAGGGCCGAGTCCTGGGGCCCCTCACCCCACAGCCGGGCCGCGCCCACGAGGATGCTGCCCGTTCCAGACTCGGGCAGTAGCTGGAAAACGGGGATGCCGCCAGGGCGCCCCACTGCGGTCTCGGGTCGGCGCACCCACAAAGGCGGCTCAGAGGCTGCGCAGCCCCGAGAGCCATAACCGGGACCCCGGCAGTGTCCTTCAACTAAAAAGGCCACGAGCCTGCCGGTCGAGTGTTTTTTCTGAATGTGAAGGTAAAGGGGCGAGCATCGCCCCAAGACGCGGAGATGCAGTTCCAGTTCCCGGAAACCGGCCCGAGACGCGCCCCGGGCGCAGACGGCCTGCTCAGGCCGACCGGACACCGCCCGCCCCAGCTGGCAGATGCCCCATCGGCGGAGGGACACTCGGGGGCAGGAGCCGGCTGCAGGACGGAGGGCGGGCCCCGGCCTCGCGGGTTGCGGCTTCCACGAAAGCAGGGCTGAGCTGTGTCCACCGCAGCTGCCCAGCCCAGCAGGTCTCTCCCTGCACCAGACACCCGCAGGGCAGCTCCCCGCGCCAGGCAGCGAGCGCCACTTCCAGGCAAAGCCTCATTTTACCCGCTGTCCGCAAGGCCCGACCGGCCCGGACCGCCTGCTCCCGGGAGTTTCTTTCCCAGTCCCGGCTGACCGGCCGTGGGCCCATGGCCCTGTCTGTCTGTGCTGAGGCTCCCGAGGGGCCGGGCAGCAGCGGGGGCAGGTGTGTGCCGTGACCCGTGTCTCCGCAGGCCAAGCTGCAGGCAGCGCTGGAGCTGGTGCGGAGGGAGATGCAGGAGGCCCTGGCGCAGGAGGCCGACGTGGGCAAGAAGACCATCATCTGGAAGGTGGGGCGCTGGGGGGCCTCCTGCCCGGAAAAGGCTGCCCCTCTGGTCTCTGCGCGGCCCCCCATGGAGAAGCCCCATTGCTCCCCACTGAAGTGCTGTTGCCAATGCCAGGCGACAAGCCCATGTGGAGGCGAGGCTGTGTCTGCGCAACGGGCCTGGGCCAGAGCTGGGGTGGTGACAGACACCTGCAGGGGGGACCTGCTCCCCGGAATCATAAACAGAGCCATAAACCAACATCAAGTCGATACACACCGCGCAGTTTTAAAAACACACAAGCGCGGGGTGAGGGAAGGGCGGCACCCACAGGCAGCGTGGACGCAGGCGGGGCTGAGCGCGGCCTCCCCCTCCCACACACCCACACACCACAGCTCAGGGTGGGCCTCAGCCCGGGCCACCCTGGCTCGGGTGGCTGACGCGGGGCAGAGGGCAGAGAAAGTGTGGACCGCATGGCCTGCAGAGGACCGGGACTGGCCCTGAGGGGGCATCTCTGTCCCTAGTCAAGGACATAGCAGCGCCCCGGGTGCGGAGTAGGGCTCGGGTTCCTCCGCCTCCTGCATGGAAAACCTGGTCCAGGTGCCCTTGGGGGCAGGAAAGATGGGCAGCAAGGCAACAGGGCTGACCCTGGGTCCCTGGACTGGGGACGCGAGACCCGCCCCTGGAGGCCACCTGTTCTGCCGGCGGGGGCACGGAGGGGCGCGGTGTGTGCCGCCTCTTTCTTTTAAAGTCCGGGGCCAGGGGTCTCCCGAGCTCCTCAGAGGGCCCACAGCGCCCTCGCTCTGCGGGGCCTCGAGCCGTCGTCGGACGCCCGTTTCCCGCTTTGCCCCCATGGAAGCGCCTCGCCCTCTAGTCAAGGCTGAGGGCACCCGGGGCCTGGAGCCTCTCTCCAGCCGTGTCTGCTTCCCCTGCGTGGTCAGTGCGGCCCACGGCACCCACGCTGCCCGCCCCGCTGACCACTGCCTCCGTCACCAGGAGAAGGTGGAAATGCAGCGGCAGCGCTTCCGCCTGGAGTTCGAGAAGTACCGCGGCTTCCTGGCCCACGAGGAGCGCCTGCAGCTGCGGCGCCTGGAGGAGGAGGAGCGCGCCACGCTGCGGCGGCTGCGGGACTGCAAGGGCCGGCTGGGCCAGCAGGCCAGGGCGCTGCGGGAGCTGGCCGAGGAGCTGGAGGAGAGGAGCCGGCGCCCTGCCTTGGGCCTGCTGGAGGTGAGGCGGGCAGGTGGGCTGAGCCCAGGGGCGCGCGGCAGCTCGAGGGACAGAGCTCTGCTGCCTGTGTGCTCCGGGGAGGCGCCTCGGCCCTCCACGCGGCATCGGATCAGATGAAAGTCTGGACGGTAGAGTCAAGGTCTTAAAAAGCTTTAAAATTAACCTGCTGCTCGGTGCAGGGCGAACAGAAGCCAAGGCCCCTGCACCACACCCGGCCGGCACCCTGGAGTCCCCGTCTGCCGGGCGACCGGTCCAGAGGGCCCTGGGCCCTGACTGCGCCCACAGCCCGGCTGGGCGCCACTCACCGGCACCTGAGCCTCCCGGGCCCCCCGGCCGGCGTCCCCCGCCAGGCGGCACCCAGAGCAGGGGACAGGTCACGGGGCCCGGAGCGGGGGCTCGGCTGCTCCCTGAAAGCGAAGGTCCTGTGGGCCGGGCCTGGGCCGGAGCCCACCACTGGCCCTCGGCTGCTGTCCCGGCCTGCCACGTCCTATGCTTGTTTGCGAGCAAACTAGGGAGGGAGAGAAATGAGCCTCCGGAGCCAGGTGGACACGAGCACGGGGGTGTCGGGGCGCTCGCCCTGTCTAAGCCGACAAAGCTGCTTGCACAACGCAGCAGCGCCTGGTGCAAACCTTAGCAGACGAGACCCTTGACTGACGCTCACTTTACGCCATTTCCTGCTCCCCAAGCCAATACGCTTTTTGGCCGCCTCCAGGCTTCCCTGCCCGGCAAAGCAAGCTGGTCATTTGCCCCCTCTTGTCCTGTCAGAATAACCTGCAGGCGGCTCTTTGCAAAGGCAGGGGCCGTGAGGCGGGGAGCCGGCTGCCGACCCCCGGGGTGACGCTTGGGGCCTCCCCTTTCGACCGGCTCCGACCAAACACAGCTCAGCAAGGCCAGCTTCCGAGACAGGCCGACCCGACGTCCACCTGCAGACAGACACGTGCCTGCCCGCACCGGCTCCATCAGCGTCGGGCGCAGGCTAACGGCGTGAGGCCCGGGCGCGCAGCTCCAGCCCTCCGCGGGCAGGGGCAGCTTATGCCCCTCTGCACTCGGACGGGACGGGCCCCGGGGCGTTAGGACGCCCCTCCGCAGGCCTGGCTCACGCGCCCGCGACTCCCTGCGCCTGCCCAGCTGCCCGTGGGCCAGACAGCTGGACTCACGGCCGTTTCTCTTCCACTTGCAGGGGCTGAGAGGCGCCTTGAACCGGTAGGTCTGTCTCCCTGCGGGACTCGGGCGCGAGGCAGGGTGGGCGACCCGCTGAGCTCTGGGTCCTGGACCCTTGCAGGAGCAAGGCCATCACCCGGCCGGAGCCCGAGCCCGAGCCCATCCCCATGGAGCTGAGGACGCTGTGCCGCATCCCAGGGATGCGCCAGATGCTGCGCAGGTTCCAAGGTGGGTCCCCCCGGCGGGCCCCGCGCCCCGGCCGACCGACCTCCCGGGGCCCCACGCCTGCCAGGGCCTATGTGGAGTCGGGTCCAGCTGGCGGCTGGCTGTGGCACCTTCACCTGGGCTGCAGCCTCGCCCGACCCCACAGGCCACGGCCCTCCCGGCCAGCCACCCCACAGCCCTGGGGGCCTCTGCACACACCTGGGTGCCCTGGCAGCTGGATTCCTGGTGGGAGCCGCCCACAGGGGAGGCTGGGGTGTCCTAAAGGCCACCCCGACACCAACCACAGGCCCCAAGGACCCCTCAGCCAGATGCAGTGGCCACTCCCTGTGCCAGCAGGAAACCCCAGTGGCCTTACCAGCTCCAGCTGGCAGCCCTCCACATGCTCCCCATGGTCTGAGTGTCCTCCCTGTCCGTGCCCATGAAGCAGCCACCCCAGGCCCTGCACTCTGAGGTGCACTCAGCTGCTGGCAGCTGGATGTGGGGGCAGCACCTCCCACAGCTTGTGGCACCTTCACAGGTCCAGTTACTGCCCAGGCCATGAAGCCAGGCCAGGAGCAGGTAGAGAGCAGAGAAGGGCCACAGGCAGGAGGCCAGAGAGGACAGTACAGCCACACCCACCCAGGCCTGCAGAGCCGCCAAGCCCCAAAGCCCAAAGGGGCAGAGACCAGACCCCAGGGCTGCAGCAGCCCAGCAAGAGCAGTACCAGCAAGGGGATGGACAGTCACTGTCTGGGGGTCTCACCCGCAAGGTCTCTGCCCTGGGACAGCCCCACAGGGAGACAGCTCACTGGACCACATGTGGGGTGGCCACACCCAGATGGGGGCAGGGAGCCACCACGAATCACAGGGTCTGAACAGCACTGGCCAGTTAGAGTCACTGTTGCCCCAGAAGTGGTGTCCAACACCCATGTTCACAGCTCTGAGTCACTGTGACGCCAGCAACAAGCAGGTGAGACCCAGGCCAGCAGCTCAAGGATCCCATAAAGCAGCAGAGGCAGGGTGAAGGCCTCATCTGTCAGCCCCCCAGAGTCTCTGTGCTGGAGAATCAAGGCTGGTGCTGCTTTTCTCCCCTCAGGCTGGAACCAGATTCTTCTCACAGCCTGGTGTTGCCAACTACTGGGCTGGCGCTGTCTCACTCTTCCTCAGGAGATGAATCTCCTCCTTCCATGGCACCTGGCCTGGAGCTGCAGCTTATCCCATCCTGGCCCAGGGACCCTGGCTTATATCCTCTCTCAGGGAGCCCCGCCAATGCGTCTGATTGGGCCATTGTTTTAATCCTGCAGCTGATTGGACCATTTACCCATCAGCCCATAGCACCTGATTGGTCCATTTCACCATCCAGGAAGTGCACTGCTACATAAAAGGGCTCTG